TCTCTCTCTCTCTCTCTCTCTCTCTCTCTCTCGCTCGTGCACACTGCAGATAGCCTCGTGCCTCTTGCTACATCAATTTTGCCCCGGAAGTTAAATATAGAAAACCTTTGACCTCTGATGACCTAGAAACTTGAGGCGACGTTGATGCAGATATGGTGTTATTGTAGGCCTGAGTCCTGCCTTAAACACACTACAACATTTTCCTTTATAAAATCGATGTACGTTACAACTGTCGTATAACTGACCTTGACATTGTGACTCCTAGGCTACAAGCCTAGTAATTGGCTGTTTCTTACCCGAAAACTCCGATACATAAACTAATGACCTTGAAAAACAAGCAGGTTTGATTTCGAATGCCACCATCAAGTCTTGTTGGATTAAGTGTCATTGCGCCAAAATGGCAGCTTCTGCCTCTCCACGAAGGAAAATCTGGAGGACCTCGACTGAATCCAAAGAAACAAATGGACGGTCTCCAAAATATTACGTGTAGAGGTCTAGTCACAGCAGCACATTGTTACTTCTGCCACTGTCTGTCGCGGAGCCCGTTCACTTGAGTCGGTGGTGCTCTTTTGAAACAAGAGGAGGGGGGGGGGTATGAGATCGCCCACCCACTTCCCCCCTCCCCGCAAACTCCAGCGGGTTTTTTTTAAATTGAAATTGGTAACAATATAGTCAGAGTGTCTGTACGTTAGATAATTCTAAACTCTCTGATATATCTCCTGAAACTGAGCTATTTGTGAGCCCTCTATCTAACAAAGAGCGTATTTATTTCTTTACAGCCAAGATTAGTTGAGCCCTTAACTCACCAAGTTTCGAGACCGAAAACATACTAAAATGATGCAGGCAGCATTCTCCATCGTCGCACGTGCTTACATCTTGACACACCTCACCCACCTTTGCCTGGGGAGGACAATTTTGTTGCATAAAGAAAAATGTCTGAAAAAAGTTTGGGATTTTTAGGGATTATTTTTTTTGAGTTTTTGTAAGAGTTTTACGGCGCTTTAAACACAATAAGGCAAGATAAATGTCTAAGATTAAAAGTGTTAGAAGAGAATAACAAATGCAAAAAGAAGGAGAGATGAAGACGATAGAGGATTGATATCGTGATAGAAAAAAGGAACCAACCACAACAGAGCACCCGTCAACTACCCACTAAACTAGTATAAGTCTGCCTTTTTTTTAAGTTTAACTCTTACAAATGGTAAGCCTAGTCCTTGCTTTGTTGCATTATATTGTATGTCAGCGTTAATATTTTCAGCGTAAGAATATAGATTTCAAGCAACAAACATGCAGCAAACCCACCAAATTTTAAGTAAAGAATAAAGATTTGGTATATGAGGGTATAGCTGTTGTATAGACAAGTATATATTTCTGATTAATGATTAAAACAAATAAGAACAATAATGCAGCAACTAGCCAGTAGACTTACCCACTTGTAAGAGACAGACAGCCAATCTTGGTGTCTCTATAGTCTGGGGGGGAGGGGGGGTTCGTCAAAGATGCGACCCAGTTAGCCGCGTTTTTCAAAGAGTACAATGAGATAGGATAAGAAAGATAAGATGAGATAAGATCATCTTTTCCTGTCAATGAGGGACATTTTGGGTGGATGTACCGATACCAGAACACGTGAAACGTTGCATGTCTTGAATTGTCACAGGGGCAGTTATAAAGGGAGAAATGAAGCCTCTAGTAATAAGAAGAACAACTTGCACTGTAGGATTCCTAGACATTTCAGATGTTTCAGAATGCTATCATTTCAGAATGTTATCGGGCCTGGGGGGGGGGGGGGGTTAATTATATGGAGCTATGTTGCTTTTTAAAGCCGGAGTTTGTATATATGTGAGGCAGCGTGGTGGAATCAGGCTCTCGTCAAAATAATCCAAGTAAAGAAAATTGCATTTTTTCGCAGGTTTGTGAATTTTTATCACATTTTTGTTTTTTAGCTCAACACCTTTCACGCTCATTAAAGAACTCATTTCTTTGTGGATTTTTCTGAAAAACGTTGATTAAAGGCACAAAAATGTAAATTTTCAGTTACCACATACTCTTAAGCTAAGGAAATAACTAATCTTTGGCGGCCATTTTCTCACTAATTTTGCCTCAGAAAACAGGTGACCCCCACCTCCTTCTTTTGCAAATATCTCGACTTGTACTCAAGATAAATAGATATTTTTTCATCCAAATAAAAACAAGTGAACAAGCTTTAAGATGATATCAATAACTCTACATGCTGACGAGAGCCTGATTCCACCACGCTGCCTCACATATATATTTAGGTTCTCATTTTTGGCTGAACACCATAACAGATCAGTGAGCATTTCCTGATTCATGTACTTACACTGACGCCGATGAGCACGAAAGCAGACACACACAGGAGGGTCTTCAGCATTATTGTTGGTCGTTGGTTGTGACTTGCTACGCATGTGTGCCACAGGAGTATTTATAGGCCTACAAAGTCAGTTACGATTGTTCTCGTGAGTCTTTTTGTTGCCGAAAACAAAAGCAAATATTTATGCTGGCTACTTTTATCCCATACTTGGGAGGGTTTTTTCGATAAATATCCAATATGTGTTCCCAAATAAACAGCCAAATGATCGATTGAATAAACATCGTGCCTCATTGAAAGGTTAGACAGGCGTGTGGTGTCACTAAAGAGGTCTATACTTTCCGACATTGCCCTTAACAACGTTGGCAAACGTGCAAACTTCATAACTGTGAGCAATGTCTTTCAAAGTCTTAAATTAGGCCAATTCGCCTATTTATTGGTACCTATTTTATACAAATTACATGGAAAACATGTCAAGGCGACTTTGAGAGCTAATGAATTTTTGGCCTATTTCCGACAAAGGAAAAAAAATAAAAGGTAGGCCCTAAGTACCGTGGCGATTTCAAAACAGACAATGGCCCACTATGGATTTATGTCAACATACACGTCGTTGACTTCATCCGACAAGTGTCCTCTACTCCATCCCCCACAACAACTCCACCACCCACTATTTATTTTTTTAAAATGTAGATTGAAAAGCTTAAAACTAAAACAAACAATCATATTGAAACAACAACAAAACAAACCGCATGTGTTCTACCAGGAACATAATCCAGGAAACTAGATCTATCGCAAAATAATATGGGAGACATTTCCTTATTCCCTGAAATTTTGTTCGTGCGAATTGCTAACCTCTGTTTGAACCAAACGATAAATGTAGGCTCACCACCAAGCATTTCACCGTATAAATGGTCTAGACGAATATCATAGACTGGGGATACGTTACCTCTAAATGCTAAAACCTAACCTAAATCCTCAACCCCGGTGCCAAATTCTGTAGCTTTAAAACCTAGCTGCAACCCTTCAATAAACTACGTGCGTATGTCAAAGAAAAAAAAAAGGAACCAAGAAAAAAAATTGTCTTGAGGCTTGACCGAAACTCTTGGCAAAGTAAGCGACAGCACAGGTCTACGTAAAACTGTATAGGTACGTAACTCTCGCTGGTCGTGAGGAGACCATATTTTGCAGAATTTTTTTTTGTTCTAGTAAGGCTTTACGGTGCTTGCAAAAGAACACCTTAACATCTAGGCCCACGAGACCCCCCCCCCCCCTGTTTCCTCTGTTCAATGTAACTAACTGTTTGCGGGGCGAGATGTGGCCCTAGGGTCTTTGGTTTGACACCTGTGCTCTACCTACAGTACAAAGACAACCTTGCTCCTACTTGCGTTTAAAGTTAGTCTATAGGGGAGGGGGAAGTGTCTCATGACCTAAAGGTTAAGGTATTCACCTCTCATTCAGAGGTCCTGGGTTCGAATCCGGGTAGCGACGGAAACATTTTTTCCTCTAAAATTGTCTCCTTTCACCTCCTTTCCTGCTCTCTGGCAATGTTTTGTAGTCTGCTATCGTCTCCCCTGTCTGCCCTCACCCCGTTACCTCCTTTGCACACTCCTTTGGGCTCCTAATTTTTTCTGCTGCCTTTCCACTGCTTCTCCTTGGCTTCTTCTTACTGCTGTCTTTCAGCCACTCCCCTAATCTTCTGGAGGGAAAGATCTACACCTAGTCTTCTCGGACAAGGGCGAAAATTCTCGGAGGTTCCGTGTGCAAGTTGGGCACGATAAAGATCCCTTGGCGGTCCAAAATCGATAAGAGTAG